AAAAAAAAAAAAAAAAAAAAAATGATCAAAGGGGGAGCCCAGCCCACTGTGGGTGGTCCTGGTTTCTGTAAAAAAAAAAGCAGGCTGAGCAAGCCATGGGGAACAAGACAGTAAGCAGCAACCCTCCATGGCCTCTAAATCAGCTCCTGCCTCCAGGTTCCTGCCCTGTGTGAGTTCCTGCCCTCACAGCTTTAGATAATGAACTATCGGAACTGTGAGAGAAGGAAATCCTTTTATCACAGCAATAATCACCCTAACTAAGACTACATGCAAGTGCTTTTATGTGTATTTTAAACAGGTGAAATGCTCTATGTTTGAAAACATGGCTTAGAGACATACCTCTCTACACAAAAGCTTTACAGGACATCCCATTCAAATGCAATGTGAAACAGCAGGTGATTTTGTAGATTCCTTTCTATTTAGTCCACTGGGAGATTTTCAAAATTGTATGTATGTTGTATATGTATGCATTCCTGTAGGTGTGTCCATGGATGCATGTGGGTGTATGTAGGTGCACTCAGAAGCCAAAGGTGTCTTCTTCAATTTTGCTCTGTTTTTCGTTTGGTTTTTTTTTGTGTTTTTTTTTTTTTTTTTTTTTTTTTTTTTTTTTTTTTTTTTTTTTTTATTTTTTTTTTTTTTTTTAGACAAGGTCTCAGTGTGAAGCCTTGGCAGCCCTGGAACTTGCTTCATAGACCAGCTTGGCCTTGAACTCACAGTGATCAACCTGTTTTGTTTCTTCTTTGATTACTGGGATTAAATGTGTGTGTCACCATACTCATGGTTTCCACCTCATTTTTTGAGACAGTCTCTCACTGAACCTGGATTTTATGGATTAAGCTAGACTAGTTGTTCAATAAATGTGTCTCCACCTCAACCCCTCTGCACTGGGGTTATATGCATGGTCCCAAATTTCCAGTGGGTGCTGGGGATTCAAACTCAGATCTTCACACTTGCAGCGCTCTATTGACCAAGTCATCCACTGAGCCCCTACTGTAAGAAGTTGTAAAGTTTGTGTATAATAGAAACACATTGTTGAGTTGGAAATGTGGTTTCATGGCAGCACCTGGCCAACTCATGCGTGGCTCTGGGTCTGATCCCACTACCAGCAATGCATTGCTGAAAATCTAGAAAATTGAGATGCTAGGAATTATTCCACAGGCACATCATAATAAAACTATTAGATATTGCTTTAATGTACTTTTAGTCTCTTTTTCTTATATAGGTTTATAAGCAGTTATAAAAAGACTACATATTCAATTTAAAATTTTATTCTACATAAGTATTTCTCCTTGGTAGAACTTAATAATCTTCACAATAACCTTTATAATAAATACATGATTTATGTAACTAATCCTCTTAAGCATTCAGAAATTTTCTTCATGATAATGCTTTAATGAATTTCTTGATAAATATATTTTTATATTTCAAGCTATTTTCTTTGGAAATTACTCCTAAAAATTGACAGATTAATTATTTGCTTATTTATTTACTGAGGTGCTAGGGATCAGACCCACACCTCTCACATAGTAGGTGAGTTCTCTGCTACTAAATTATATATACCTCACCTTGGAAATGTTTTTTTACTTTTTTAAAAATTACTGCTGTAACCTTAGACCTCAATAAACACAGCTATCATCTGACTATTTTTAATGCTGGATTATTATCCAAAGCAAAATCCCTCAAAATCTGTTCTTAAAAAAATCTTCCTTTTTGCTAAAAAAGAATCTCTCTGATCTATGGCTGGCGTTATAGCTCAGAACCTAAGTTGTGTGGCCTTTATAATGTCATACCTTCTATGCAACACATTTTCAGCAAGTGGGCCAACAGTAGTCATGTGTGGCCCACGCAGATGGGATGAAGAGGGAGACACACTGTAGTAAAGTTGCTTTTGAACTAAAATATACATTCTGGTTCTTTAATATAAGTACCAGCTAATTTGACTAATTTACAGTAAGTACTTAGATTCTCTCTTGCTGTGCT